TGTAGGTGATTTATCGTCTGCTCTCATTCTGACATGGTGTTGCTCTCGCCTTTGGCATGCATCCATCCCTTCTGTCACGATGGCAGTCGTGACTGTTGTTTCCCTGTGTTCCCCCTTGTTTTCCCTATCCTTGTGTTGTGTTTACTTGTCTCTGTCTGTGTTGTGGGCGTGGCACATTTCCCTGGTCCCTCCTGGATAATCACAGATGAAGCACACCTGCCGTTCCTCAGCTCACCTGCCTTTCATCAAGTCATCACTCCAACTGCATATAAACCCTGGCCTTCCTCCCAGTCCTTGTCAGATCGTTTGTTCAGCCACTGTGGTAGTTCACGTTCAGATCGCCTTAAACTATTGTTCCTTGTGCTTCCTGTTGATTTCCTGACCGATCTCTAACCACCTATTCTCTTGTGCTTAGGTCCACCACCATCTTCCCCCGTTTGCCTGCTCTCCACCAACCATCTCAAGACAGTCCACACTCCGTGCCTCCTCCATCCATTCCAACCACTGCTTCACCTCAGCCATTCCCTCCACCTCGCTATCGGACCCTCTCCCTCCCCTTTTCTCCCACGTCACAATAAATCCCCTTCTCTCACCAACCGTTGTCTGAGCCTGCATTTTGGGTCAGTACCTATGTAACCATGACACCTTCAGGCACACAGTCACACACAGACAATACACGTCGTGCATTTAATTTGCCTGCCTTCGACTTTCCTGCTGCGTCTGATACAGTACCCATGATCCTTTGCCTCACGGGCTGTGACCTGTCAGAGTGACAGGCCATGAAAATTCTGACATGCAATACTACGAGACAGGATCAAATGTGTCATCTTCCCCTCAAACAAAGAAACAAAGGGTTGGGAAATGCTTTTCTTTTACCAACACTCATTTTTATGTTTTTTTTTAATTAATGTAATATAAATAAGTAATTTCAAAGTTTTACCCTTTTCTTCATATTTTTTTTTTTTTAAATCATGCGGCAGTAAATAAATAGACGGTCGAGATCAAAAGAAGGATGCCTGGTGTGAAGAAGATTTTTTTTTATTTTATGCAGTAGCGTGCTACGCCACAACCAGTGCAACAGAATCATCCCACTACTGTCTGCTTTTTCTGTCAAAGCTTCACCTTTCACAACACACGAAACACACACTGCATGACATCTGTTAGAAGCAGAGTAGAGGAGAGAGCACTGTGATTAATACTGACAACATCAAGTCGGAATCACCACTAGAGACAACTGAAATAATGACCTATAAATGTAGACAGGTTAAAGGTTGGTTAGAGGTTAGTAAAAAATGTGGGTTCTTTCCTGATTACATTTTTGTTAACTTGTATAGTAAAAACCACTTCATCAAAAGCTGAAGATACTGGTATTGTCATTTTTAGACCCATGTAAAAACAAACAAAACACAAAAAGACAAAAGCTTCTAGACAAGCTTAAGCTTGGTAAATACTAAAAGAAAAATTACAAAAAGCATAGCTTTGGTACTGCATTTCACTGGCCTGCCTGCAGTCCAAAGCCATCTCCTTTTAACAGTGCTTGAACATGGGCCAGGCAGTAACCAAGGGGAAACATGGAGAGACACAATAATAAAAAATTGGAGTAAACACTGACAGCCCTGGAGGACAAGAACATGGAGCAAACACGACGTATGGAACCACAAGAGCAACAGGAACCATGACAGTCAGAGACAGCCAGACAGAAAGGAAGAATAACAGACAGACCGGACAAAAGTTTAATTGGTCTTGGACCAAGTGCACCACTAAAAGACAGATCTACTATCTTTCAATGTGATTATTGTATGTTCACATTCATATTTACATTTGGTGTAAATATTCAAGGGGATTGAGACAAGATAGTGGAGATACAATCAAAACACGTTTCAGTGTCTTGCAATGATGCAACACCTAGTTCAGGTCAGGAATATCTTGGCTAAATAATCCAGGAGAAAATCAGGGAATCTATAGAAAAATGCTGGTAGACTGAAGTCGGAGTAGACTATGCAGCAGAAAGGTTAACACTGAAAACCTGAGCTAAAACTTGAGTTACTGCCTGACCTGAGCAGGCAGAGATGTTAAAATAGATTTGGACCAAAACATGTAACGTTACTGTAGTAATCCTCTACTGTTTCTGACAAACTGTTGTCAGGTACAGCCTGCAATGACACACAAACCTGCACACACACATGCACAAACCTCTCCATGTCTTACTAGCTTAGTCCAAACTATCCTGGGCTGTCCAGGCCTCTGCTGTGTTAGTAGACCACACATCCACACATCAGCTCTTTATTGTTCCTTCCACTGTAGTAATGAAAACAGAGTCAATTTGGCACATAGAGGTAGGAAGTGGTGGCCAAGGGATGTGGGTCAATGGGCCCTACATCCCTCCATGGTTGGCATCTCATTTTATACACACACGCACGCACACACACACACACACACACACACACACACACACATTTACACATAAAGAATTACTGCACACAAGCTATCTCTGTCTTCCTTCTGAGGATATGAGTAATACATACAGTATATACTGTATATACAAAAGGAGTTAAGCAAACTGAACTGCAATGAAAACACATGTTGGCCCTGCATCTCCTCCAATGGTAGGAAATCCTGGACATGTCGAGCACATTCAGAAAAATACTTGAGGTTTTTGGTGAAATTAGAATCACCTCATCTCATAGTAATGTGAAGCATGGCTATATTGAAAAAACAGAAGAAAAAAAATGAAAGAGTGCCCATACGGAAGCCACCAAGGGCCAGGTGCGTGCACGTACAAATCAAAGGGCCTTCAGACCAGCTGGTAATGAGGGTGACCATGACGTTTTAATGTTGTTATCCTACTGTGTGGCTTAAGTAATGGCAGCAAAGGAAGGGATGATCTATCCACACACACAGTGGGTCTGGAGAGTATTGTTACAACTTAAACACATTTTTATGACCTTCTGAGCTTTTAAATTATGTCAGGTAAGGTGTAGTGGTTGGTTAGCAAGAAGGATTCTTTTACTCTAAATGTCTTACAGGAGCCCAATTACAACCACATGTACTGTAATTCACCTGGTTAGCAGTACCGTAATTTCCGGATGACAAGCCATGGGAAAAGTGAAAAAAAGCAATAAATGACTCATCATGTAGACAGCTATATATTAATTTTAATCATTTATCATTTTTTGAACCAGCCGTGTTACAGGCACTGTTTAGAGAATAGCGTTTTTTTATTTAAAACGCCAGCAACAGCATCAAACCCAAGCAGGTAAACAGCCAACTCTGAGCATCTTATCGGCTGCCTCTTCAGATTCGTGGAAGATGCTCTGGACCTGCAAAGTCTTTTCTGTGGCAACATTATGAAAATGTTAAAACTCTGCACATCTGCGTGGCTTTATTTACATTCGGCTTGCTTCCCCGTGTGGCTTGGGTGCATTGCGTTTAAGGCACCGGGCTGAGTGTTCAGCTTAGCTATTTACTTTAACGTATTTGTTTTCCTGCTTGTGTGTGTATATTAATTCAGGTTATATTATTTCCTCTTAGTAAAACCTCCAGTTTGATATAACAGAAACATTTTTTTTTGTAAACATCTCAACGTTGCAACGTGGACACCTGTGACTTATAGACAAGTCCGGCCAATATACAGCATGTACAGGTGCGCTCAATAGCCTGAACACTACTCTAGATGAAAAATGTAGAGGGTTAGGGAGAGGTGATGAGAGAAGAGAAGAGAAGAAAAGAGAAGAGAAGAGAAGAGAAGAGAAGAGAAGAGAAGAGAAGATGGTAGAAGAAAGGAGAGGAGAGAAATTAATTTTAATAGAATGCTGTTCTATAATTTTAAAAAGTGTCCTTATCTATTTGTGAACAGAGTTTGTAGAATATAAAACATTGAAAGCATCATAAATTAATATTGACAGTGTGTACAGCAGATACAGTACAGTATGTGCATCTCTGTGTCAGTGTATCGCGGAATCTTGGTAGGTGTGTGTGCTCCAGTGTGTCATCAGTCTTGGTCAGGTCCCCGCCTGGGTGTGTGATGGTTTGTCTCCCTGTGTTGTTGCAGCCTTTGTAATCATGGTATTAATTATTAGCTGTTTGCTCTCCATCATTCCTCTCTCCTGGGGCAGGCACCATGTCTGGCTGCCAAGGGCTGGCTCTGGATGTCTCATCCACTATAAATCTGCATGGTTAACTATTACAATCACTGGAACAGTAACCACTGAATAATTACACAAGTCCTGGGTGTAAAAAGTCGGCTGGTTTAGATGACTCCAGTACTGTACTGAAACTGCAGGATTTTTCTAAAACACTATATATCTTTGCTAACGATGTGATGTTTTACTTAAGCAAAATAAAAACAGACATGCCATGTTTTTATCCCATGCTTCACTTGTACACCTCTTACCTGAAATCATGTAGTTCAGCCAAGAAACAAACAACAACAATGTCCCGGGGCTTTGCTAAAATAGTGTGAGAAAAGATGTCTCACATTACCCCGCCTGCTGTCCTCAAGCCAGGCTGTGAATTAGTCTTAACACCAGCAGGTCTGTCACGTGTCCTGTATACGCCAGTGGCTTGCCCTATACACACACACAAACACACATGCATATAATGTACATGTATGCTTATGTACATTATTTTCCTTTAAAAGTGATGAGTGTCATCACTCCTTTAGAGATACTTGTGAATTGAATCTCTGACAGAAACCACAGCATCTGGCAGTGATTGTGGTGCCACAGGGGTTGTACGTGTGTGTATTACAAACCAACTTTTAACCCCTTATTGTCTTTAAGGTAGAAATCAGCTCCCTCCATTCCAGATCTATGACATTGCACTTGCAATCACTCTTTAACTGTTGACACCTGACAATGTTTTGGCCATCATCAACATTGTGACAATATAGAATCAATTTTGCTGAATTATTCTCACTAACTAAATAAAAATATGTTTTAAAAGTGTAACCACGTGTAATATAAGTCATTAACCAGACTATAACTCAATTTATAAATCTCAAAATTCAGAACTTTATTGTGATAATTTTTTATTGTCCAATTTTGCCCTAAGAAGCAGGCAGCAGTGCCTGTCAGATTTACAATTTTAATTTCAGTAATAGACATTAGGGTCATTTTGGCAAACACTTTTAATGTCAGTTCCTTGAATGGAATTATAAATGATTTTTATGGGCAAAAAAATGCAATAAACTCAAATCAGATGACTATATATCTTCTGGAACCCCAGCAGTGAATAAAAATGATGTGATATTAAGAGAAAGGAGACTTTTTGAATAGGATAATAACACAGAGATGAGGTAAGAGATTTGAAAAAGGCTGCTGCCTTATTTTAAGGATGATTATTTTTTTCATTAGAAAGAAATAAAATATTTGTATGAGGTCTGTTGGAATAAATACCATCTCTCAGCGTTCCCTTGTGGTTTCCAGGCACTCAAAAGATTCTGATGAAGAGTCGATGAAGATTCCGTCATAATGGACACAAAGATTTAACCATTTGTGAACTGAATAGGAGAAAACAATTTTCATGATTGGATCACAATGTCACATGTCTGCTGATTGTAAGAGCAGGAATTGTATCGTAAAAAAAGAAGCAAAAATGCCTCTTGGGAATCAAAAAACCCGGAAGGGAAAAGCTGCCAACAACTCTCCACTGTGATCGGTGAAAGAAGATTTTTGTTAATCCATTAAGTGAGTGTTCCCCCTGTACTACAGGTGCTTACGAAATACCTCTAAAAAGAGGTATTTCAGGAGTTATACTGGTTTATATAGCTCTGCTGAGGCTTCACAAAATCAGAGCATGATGGGAATTGGAGGTTTCAAATTACTTCGGAGAGGGAAAATTCCAACTGGGCAGTCTTTTGGCACAACAACTGGCAACTTAACCTGAAGTCTCGAGGAGAGACATGGTGACCCTGTCCTTCATGTTGCTTCCTTCGGAACAATAAGCCAAAAAAGGAAAAAAAATAAAAGGTCTCATTCACTTCTCAGTGCAGGTGCCTGCAGCTATTGTACTGCAAAATAAAGAAGGCTGAACATAAAGTTGTAAGACTGCTGCGGTAAGATTTTTGTCTCCTGCAAACTGACACCTCTCCCAAACACATAATTAATCACAAAAAGTAGTGGCAAACTATTTGTTAGACAATGACAGGCAGGGGTCAAGGAACTGCAAGGAGAAGGAGATTGTTTCAGTAGAGGGGGCTAAGAATAGTGAACACCTGATGCTGTGTTTTAAATGGGTATGTAGGCAATTACGCCCATATGTTTTGGCGTGTGCGTGTGTGTGTGTGTGTGTGTGTGTGTGCCTGCGCCTATCCTCCCCTCCAAATATTTCAGGGTTGGCCAGGATCTGCGGGACAGCAGAGACTCAACCAATAAGTCACAAGCCACCAGCAGCCAGGTCAGATTAGGTTTCTGTCGTTGGCCTTTGTGCTGATAATACAACCATGAGTGGCATTTCCCAACTGTGACTTCACCTTAGCCATCCTTCACATGTAAAGGTTCGACCAGCAAGATAGACTGTGTCAGTTAAATAAGAGATAAAGGGAAAGCCAGGAGAGGGTGACGTTGAGGGCTAGCAGTTTTCTCTGTTAGTTTAACACCCTGGTCAGAGGGTTTGTGTTATTGATGAGAGACACAGAAGGAAGAAAACAGCCTGAAGACAAAAGAGAAGGCATAGTTGATTGGCACGTTAAGCCTGCGTGTCCCTATCTGTCTGTTTAATTTGAAGAGACACAAAGTTGCAGGGATGACCATGAAGATGGAGTGTCCAGATAGATTCGGATTCACAACCTTAGACCCAGATATCATCTTTGTCTTATTCTTTGGTTGGTTTATCTTCCGCATAAACAAGAATGTAAAGTCCTAGAATCATTATCAGCGCTGTATTTAAATATTTTAAAAATATCTCTCTTTTGGCTGTTTCTTTAAAAAAAAAATCAACGTCTTTTACTACCTCTCACTTTTTCTCAAGAGGCTTTCACGGTTCACTCCTTCTTTTTACCCAATTAGTTTTTCATAAGAGGCTCATCAACTTTTCACACATATCACCGTTGATTAGCTTTGTGGGATAACCTTGACAAACTACTCTCCTGGATGGATTTAGTCAGTCTGTCATGAGGCATCACTTCATGCAGGATGCAAATGCAAATATTGCTCCTCTATTTTTGAGTCAACTGAAGCGTCTGCAAAATAAGCTTTTTGAACTGTCAAAACAAGGGTATAACCTGTGCGCTCCCAGACACACACACACTCCACCTCCATAAATATTAAAGGTGTGTAGTTAAGAAATATTAATGTCACGTTAATCAATCGTTGCTCTCAGAGGGGAAAATCCTGTTTAAGGTGTGGCAGCATTGGCAATTTTTAGCTTTGGAAGTGTCTGAGTATTTGACATCTAAAACACGTGTAACAATGAGCTTCATCTCTGTCAAAATATTTTGGCTTTTGTTTTGTTAGATAAGGAATCTGTTAAGTCAAACTAGTTATCTCTACAATTTTAACAGCCCAATGTTGCCACCTATCAGTTTCAACACGGAACTGCAGCTGTCGTTTTGTTGGCCCGCAATCATCAACATGATAATGCCCTAAACTTAAGTGTGTATTAATTATAGCCTGCCAGGATGATTAAACAAATCTGATAAATCAAACAAACTTAGGTTTTAAATTCTCACCTAAGGTGAGAAACACTCGGTTTTACTAGCGATGCTTTAGAGATGTTTTAAAGTGAAACTATTACTACGGCCTGAGGTAATATGTCTTTCATTGTCATTAAATTTAAAGGTGCTCTGTGAGATAAACTATAGGAGATACAATACTTTGAATTGAATTTTAATGGCAAGATGTAAATATATAAATCATTAACTGCTAATTTTTAATATACATTTAACGAAAGTATAAGCTGTTGTTGCCACAACCAGATGACACTCACTGATCAGTTCTTAGAATTGACCATAGTAGATAATGTAAATAACTGTTGGGTTTGAATGACTAGTTCAGATTACATATCCTCTACTTAGACTACCACGTTCCACTATACGGACAGGAAAGATGAGGTGCACCACAACTTGGAATATGACTGTTAAATGTTACCACCAAATATTTATAGTTTTCCTTTAATTATCTGTAATGTATGGGTCCAAATAAACTGTATGTTAAACTGCATTGTGGAAAAAACATAAAACATTTCAAGGGACTTGTACTTTGTCAGGCTATATATTTGTAAGTTAATAGAAAGGAAGTACATACCAACAGCTTACAAACACAAGTCTAGAAAGAGACAAAAGTATAAAGCAGATCTTTGTTGGTTATTATACATTCTTATATACAGTGCAGGGTATTAGAAGATTTCAAATCTGAAGATTGTGTTTCATATCTTAATTTTTTTTTTTTAGAAAAAGTTAAGACTAAAGGAAAGTGTATAGGAAGGCAGCTACAATTTGAACAAAATACATTCCACCTATAAAGTAAGAGCGAGAACACAGGTGTCAACAGTGTCTTTGTCCTTTGCTCATTTTCTTTTTTGCTGCTGCTCACCTTTGTGTAATTAACATATGCTGTGAGACTCAATAACAAAAACAGACATAATAACTGAGGGAATGCAGGAAGATGATTACAACGTGCTGTCTGATACATGAATCTTAATTATATACAGTGGTATAAAAAGGTTTGGGCACCCCTGATCATTTTCAAGATTTTCCTTTATGGATCATTGATTGTTTGGAACAGCAATTTCAATTAAATATATCATATAGCAAACAAACACAGTGATATTTAAGAAGTGAAATGAGGTTTATAGGATTTACAGAAAGTAAGTAGGCAGGTGCATAAATCTGGGCACCCCAACAGAAAAATTACATCAATATTTAGTAGATCCTCCTTTTGCAGAAATAACAGCCTCTAAACGCTTCCTATAGCTTCCAATAAGGGTCTGGATTCTGGTTGATGGTATTTTTGACCATTCTTCTTTACAAAACATCTCCAGTTCCGTCAGGTTTGATGGTTTCCGAGCATGGACAGCCCGCTATAAAACAGACCACAGATTTTCAATGATATTCAGGTCTGGGGACTGAGATGGCCATTCCAGAACGTTGGACTTGTTCCTCTGCATGAATGCTTTGGTAGAATTTGAGCAGTGTTTAGGGTCGTTGTCTTGTTGAAGTATCCAGCCCCGGCGCAACTTCAACTTTGTCACTGATTCTTGAACATTGTTCGCAAGAATTTGCTGATACTGACTGGAATCCATGCGACTTTCAACTTTAACAAGATTGCCAGTACCTGCACTGGCCACACAGCCCCACAGCATGATGGAACCACCACCAAATTTAACTGTGGGTAGCAAGTGTTTGTCTTGGAATGCTGTGT